TATCTTGACACGAAACTCCACTAAAATCTATCAACTGTTTGTCTATTCTTGTTAACACAATAAAGCGCTCACTCATAGATCATCGAAGTGCATCTTTACGGCAAGTGGGATGCGCGCAGACATGAATGAGCTTACCGATCAGCTCAAAGCGCAAATCAAGAATTACAGATACGAGAATAACAAAGAAATGTCAACAGAGGCAATCGCGCAATTACTCTCAAACACATTGTACAGTCATAGATTCTTCCCTTATTACTCATTCTCGATTTTAACAGGACTTTCCGTCAAGGGAGAACCACTCATTTACAACTACGACGCCGTCGGGTCATTCCAGGAAGTCGCTTACACTTGTTCCGGTTCCGGTGAAGAATTGGCGTATCCCCTTCTTGACGCTTTACTCAAACAAAGAACTGAAGTCTTATTAGAAAAGGAAGGCGTCAATATCGCCAGAGATGTGATGACGTCGGCGTGTGAGAGAGATATCCACACAGGTGATGACGTCGAGTTGTATGTCCTCAACAAGAATGGAATCACTTACACCAAGGAGTATATGGCGAACGACTAATTCACCGTCTTAAGTTTTTTTTTATTTAATAATAATATTATAATAATTTTATTATAATATTTTATTATATATTATAATATAATCAAGTAAAACAAAATTCAATTTTCAATGGGATCGTCTTCTAATTCCATGGCTTGTGGCTGTGGTTGATTTAACTGTGAAGTTATCTGTTTCTTCAACTTGGCAGCAACGTCTGGACCCATTTTGGGGAGCATCTCCGATATATCAGTCACTACTTTCTTATTAAATGTAACGACTGATAAAGCAGAGGACAACGCATCTATTGGCCAAAAATCATACGCACCAACTAAATCTTCCAAGACGGGAGCTTTGAAAAATTTACGAGTGTTGCACTCAATAGCAAAATTGTCGATAATACTCTCCACACGAATTTTGAGATCGGGGATTTGTGTGTTGAGAAGAAAGTAACTCTCGCATACAACACCAAAGAAGATGAACGCGTCGTTGTCCTTTTCAAACTTCTTCTGGGAGATGCCATATAATACATTAAAATAGTCTTTCACTGTAAATACATTCGAAGTCTGATTCTCAACCTTGTCCCACACTAAGACATACATCAATGTGAGTAATACAATGAAGTGCTCTTTCTTTAATTCATCAATGTGTAACACTCTGTCACTTAATTTTAAAACACGCTCTCGCAACAATGGAAGTGAATCGACTTTGATGTATTGGTATATTATCTCTAACCCAATCTCGTCTTTGATTTCAATGGTTTCATCATTCATGCCATCATCAAGAATAACAGTACATAATACATTCATATCATCGTTGATAACACTGCTAACAACTTGCTGTAATTGGGGATAATCGCCAATATTGAAATCACTCAGAACAGCAAAGTAGTTGTGTGTCAACGATGCGTCGCCCTCTCGTATTTTCACACTCACAAGCTTGAGCACATTCTTTAATCTCTCTAAATTGTTTTCAGTCAATATCGTCTCTTTTTCAATGTTCCTCAAGATGACCATAAGAATAGAAACTTCCTCAATATCACTCTCGACACTTTGATAGATCTCATCCAGTCTCGAAATCACTACTTCACTCACATCCAAATAGTCTTCTTGTTGTTTCTTCTTCTCCACATTACTCATTTTTTCAAGTACTTCATCTACAGTCATCGTCTTTCGTCCATTTCTCATCACTTTACTCAACAACATCCCAAGAAGGACATTCTCATGCCCTTCATATAATTTCGCATCTTCAGTTTCAAACAACGCAAGACTCTCTTTCGAACACAAGAAGTCGACCAACAATCCCACATTCGAAAACTCTTCAAACTCCGCTATTAAATATTCAAGAGCATAATAACTGAACTTCGGAAGGTCGGTCTCTTTCTCCACCATCTCAATAAGTAACCGGACAATTAATACAAACCGCAACTTCTCCTTATCTTTCACTACAAACTGCCGCTTCCCCTTCAGAAACGCTTCAACACGTCGTTTCAAAAACGTTGCAAGGTATAAGGCAGTCTGTTTTCTTATTTTACTCGACCGGTCACACAACATTCTGTACATCTCCTTTCTATCAGCTTCTGTTATCAGTCCCCACTCATCCAGTTTCGAACATAACTCAATCGCGCTCTTCGCAGTATCAACATCGGCGTCAAGTCTCATCTCCACGATTCTGTCTTTCACTGATTTTGCCAGTTCAACGTAAATGTCTTCTGGTGGAGATGTGGTGTTTGCAAATGCTGTGATGAGCACCGAAGTCACTGCTTTTCTCACATGACTGTCGTCATCAAATAAGAGGTCTTTCACAATCGCAACCTTCTCGTCGTATTCCTCGTTGAAATCATTTAAAACAGTCTCACACGCGACTTTACGGATGTCTCGTGACACATCATAGCATCGCGGATATAACACATTTGTTCGAATATGTGCAATGAGTTTAGTGACGTGGTTAATCGCTTTGTCGAGGCGATCGAGTTCTTCGTTCTTCGTCTTTTTATTCTTCGATCGCTTCACGACCTTCTCTCTTGTGTTCAACGACTCTAAAGTCTCGATGTATTGTTCAAACATCACTACAGAACACAACGAAGAGCTTAATCGGACATTTCTAATTTCACTCCGACTCAGACTTGAAATGATCTCATGTACACTTTTAATACCTTTTCCGTACTCCTTTCGTTCGTCTGAAGAACTCTCTTTGATGACCCCACAAACATTCTTCCATACGCCTTTCCAAAGCTTTTTAACAGTGATTTGTATGTTGGTTGGCGTTTTAAATAAATCACTGTCAAGTCGGTCTGCTACATCTTTGAAACTCTTTTCCTCAATGTACTCCTCTGATAATACCGTTTCACTGTTGTCAATGGGAAGTCCAGAGAGTGCAAGTGTCAACTGCAGAATTATTTGGAAATTGTCTTTGAAGTTGTCCGATACACGACGAATCGTTTCGTTGGCACGAGAAACAGTTTGTGCGTCTTTGTAAAGATCTTCGAGTGTAAAAGTAACTTCTTTAGATTCACTTGTCATAGCTGTCTTTTAGGACTTTTGAGATTCTCTCTTTTCTTCTTTTGACTTTTTTCGAAATTTGATATTAAATTTGAGGAATTCTTCAATTTGTAATTAATCAATTTAATGCCAAAATTTTCGGGATTTGCTAGATAATAATTGTTTAATTTAATTGGTATTTTTATATGGTTTAATTATTGAAAAATCAATTAAAATTATTAAAAAATTTGATTAAAAAATTTTTAATATTTAATATAATTTATTACTACTAAAATTATAATTCAACATTTTAAAAACAGAAAGGTAAAATTGAAAGAATACCTATTTTTATATAAATAAAATTTGGTTTTTTAACATTTTAAAAATTAAAATTATAAAAACAATACAAAAAGTGTTGTTTAAAAATGTTATTATTTTTTTATAATATTATTAATTTCTAATTTTTTAATAAAAGTTAATATCAAATAATTTGTGTTTTAGTCAAATTTTTTTGAAAGTTCAATTGATATTTTCTTATTTATTATTTTATTTTATTTTTAACATTAATTATTTCTATTTTAATAAATGTTTCTGTTGTTTGATTATAACTAAATATTTTTCTTTAATTATTATATTATATGAATAAACTAATATTATAATTATAACTATAATAATCAAAATTACATGCTAGAACATTCGGGAAACTTCAATTATTTTGTCATAAAAATGATTTTAAAAACTAATCAATAAATGTTATTAACTTTTCAATTTAAGACTCAATATAAAACTATACTTTTTAGTTCTTCGTGAACGAATCTGAAAAATTAATCAAAAAACAAAAAATTAGTGTTTTTTTCAATAAATTAACAAATTTCCCGATAGTATTGATACTTATTGTTTATTATTTATAACAACAATAGAAGTCAAAAACGAAATCCAAAAATAGATTATTTTCAGCACAACCTGTTCAAGTAAGATTACACAAAAACACTTTTCTCGTTGTGACGAAGTCTTTGTGCAGCGGTGTCAGCTATTTCCATTGTTAGCATAGAAAATGAGATGAAGAATTGATTTGGTGGTGTTATATTTCAGTTCTTTTGGTTGACAAGTTTTGCCCAATTTTCTTTTTTGATTTGGGAAATGGATTATTCAAGAGTAGTATTTTTACAATAATTTTTAAATAAAATTACTATCGTTTACTATCTTCTACTGTTTCTTTTTAGTGGTGGTTTGGGTTTTTCTTTTTTCTTTTTTTGCGGATTTTTCAACATACACTTCTCACCATCCTTTGTGTTGTAATATGTTCATTGGTGTATAAAACACAATACAAAACACGTTTGTAAACCGTTTGAATCAAACAGAATGGAGTGATATTTAAGAGTATTTGAGATACAACGATACAAAACAAGGAAAATACATTACACCCGTGTCAAACCTGGATGGGGCGTATCTGAAGACATGTTGATTTTGTTAAAAAAACGGAAAGCAAAGAGAAAGAAAATGGAAGTTGTGAAGGGTTGATTCACGTCAAAAAGGATTTTAGGGAGGGCACATTTATAATTCGAAGTTCCATCTCAAATTATCAAATCACAAGATTGAGATGGCTATGACATCATTGACCCCCGAAGAAATCCGCTTATTGTTCATAAAGAAGGAACGAGATATGCTAATCTATGGCTTTAACTATTTGGACATCTTATCCATATACCACCCAAGGTATTACAACACTGGTGTACTCCCAAAGGCAATTGACTTGTACTTCTACCCTCACCCACAGATGAGCGGAAAAGTCATGAGCGACAATCTCATTCTCTCATCTAATCAAGAAGACGGAACTGCACAACACTTAAGGCAGGAAAAAGCAGAGGAAAAACAGGAAACAGAAATCAAGGAAGACAGCCACTTGGGTACTGAAAAGACGGTACCACTCAGCGACTCATCAAAGAGTTCTATATCAGTTCCACATCAAGTGGAAACTGTGAAAGAAACACCAATACAGGAAGCTGAAGATGACGACGCAACGATCACGGAAGACGATGCTGACATCAGGGCGCTACGAAAAAAACTTGCCAGAGAGCAGAAGATGAAAGAGAAGATGGGGAAGAAGCCACGGAACATAAAAACAAGAAGAAATGGGAAACCAAAAACAATAGTGGACTCCGACGAGATCACTAACGTTGAGGCGAAGAAGCGCGTTGTGTCGAAGGTCCGCACGCGTGCGTCGACAAAACGGAAAAATTCCCTTGACGCCTGACCTAACTTGTTCATTTCGTTTATTCTGCTATTTTTACAACACAAATAGAAAACAGGTGTGTTTGTTTTTGGCTATTTTTGGAAATGTGAAGCGGGAAGCTTGTTCAAGAGTTTCAAGTGGGTGATCTGTCGTTCTTGTTGCTTTGAACTGCTTTTGAGCTGCGTGAAGGGTCGGCGTTGGGCAAAGAAAGACGCACGAAAAAAGCAAACAAAGACGAAAAGCATTTTTCACCAAGAAAACTTTTTACACAAAGGAATCTTGGACATTTTCTCCGAACAACATTCTTATTCAATGTTTAAACGTGGTAAACGAAACTATAAATATGGTTTTAAAAAGGTGGGGGTTCATATGTTGAGTGACAGAATGCAGGAACCACTTCTATCTGGTAATTTTATTATACTATATAGTTCATTTGTAAACCTTCGGGAAAAAGCAACAAAACACAATTTCTTTTTTATTTTTAGAAGGTCAATAACAAAAGCATTATTTTATCGGAAAGAATTTTGATAATTTTGGGTTATTGGTTAAAATGTAGACTATAATAAAGTGTTAATCGGGACAATCAAAAAATGCC